AAGAAAGAAGCTTTTGCTTTCTGTCTAATTGCCCTCATTTGTAGCATAAATTCTAGTTGTTCTTAATAAAAACTTAGGGACAGATACTGGGGTAAAGCTGAAGATTAGAGATGCAAAACTTAGGGACAGATACTGGGGTAAAGCTGAAGATTAGAGATGCAAAGCGGCCAGCCACTAGAAAGTTCTCATCTCTATCAATGCTCACACCAAAGGGGAGATCCTGTCCTCTGATGGCATCTCCAAACTGCACTGCTCCTTCTTAGACTGTATCTCTCTTCACCAAACCCCAGACTTCTCTGAGCTCTTGTCTTCCCCCACTTTATATTCCTCTTTAGTGCTGGGCTTAAAGGTGTGGGCTCCCAGTTGCTGAGATCACCTTTGTGTGAGCTCTGTTTCTTTTAGACTGGCTCACGGTAGCCTTGAATTAATAGAGATCTGTCTGCCTGTCTTCAGAGTGCTGGGATTAAAGGTATATACCACCACTGTCTGGCCTTGGACTTGGCCCATACATCAATTAGCAATCAAGAAAATGTCCTGCGCTAGATAGATGGTTCAGAAGTTAAGAGCACTGCTCTTCCAGAGATCCTGAGTTCAATTAGATCTGATGTCCTTTTATGGCCTGCATGCATGCAAGCTGACAGAATACTCTAAACATAAAAATAAATAAATAAAATAAATAAATAATAAAAATCTTTTAAAAAAAAAAAAAAAGGAAGGTATATATATGCCCTCAGGCCAATCTGTTCAAGGCAATCCCCCAATTTAGACTCCCCTAGAAAACTTTGGGCAGTTAGTTCATAGATGAAGCTAACTAGGAGACTAAACTTAGAATTCAACTATGTTGGCTAGGCTGCCTAACCAATCTCCATGATCTATCTTGCTCCACCCACCCTTGCACTGGAGTTAGGAGTGTGGTAGCTGCCATGCCTGCCTTCTCTGTAGGTGCTAGACTCCCAAGTTCAGGTTATCATACTTAGTACTTTACTCACTGAGCCGTCATCTACCAAGCCCTTACTAGACTATTTTAAGAAAACATTTTAGAATAATTTTGATAGTGGTGATTATTTAACACCTATAAAAATATAATTCTAGGAATATATGTATCAGAAATGCTCATAAAATATTCAGTGATCATGAATTTTGCTTTCAGAAAAAAATACTTGTGCTTCCCTAAGCTCAGCATAACCTTTAATTTTTGCTTCTGTGATCAAGTATTATATAAGTCTGTATATCTTCAACTGTTGTTAGTAGTTTGTTTCCACATTACTGCATATTGAAACCATTATCCAATATTCGTGAATTCGTTGCTTATAGCAGCTTTACTTATAACCACCATTGTTTCTTCTATAAAAGAAACAATGAAAAGATAAAAATGGTAGAACACATGCCATGGAGTAACAGCCTTAACAGGGGAGGGGATGCTGACATGTTGTAACATGGATGAAACTTAAAGATAATGTGCCAAGTGAGCTCACACCTACTCACAGAATAGACACGTGGGTTTGATTCCACTTAACTAGGATATCTGATATAGCCCCATTTCACAGAGACAGGGAATGGAACGGGAGGGGACAGATAGTAAGGTACCAAGGAGTTTAAGCAACACGCCAGAAGAATTTCCTGAGCAACCACAGGCAGCTATGCAGGAGAATAATCCTCTGCATAGCCCATCGTTTCCTTTTTACACAACCTCCATGAGGAACCTTGTGACATTCCCTTGAATTCTCGTGAGCCTCTCTGCCCCTGTCATGAGTAAATGTCAATAGGCCAGATAGTGTGATCACAGCTCATGTCTAACTTGGAGGGAACACACAAACTATGGGAAAATGGGTAGAAGGAGTGGAGGTCAGGGCTTACAAACCATATTTGGCTTTAATATTTTTTAAACTTCATTGTTGTATGAGGCGAGTGTATGATGTGGGTGCAGATATACATGCACAGAGGTCAGAGGACAACTTTGTGGAGTTTGTTCTTTCCTTCCACCTGTAAGTATATTCCAGGCATTGATGTCAGGTCATTGGGATTAAACTCACATTGGCAGTCTTGCCTGTTAGTTACATTTACTTACTGAGCTGTCTTGACAGCTGGGGCATGGCTGACAGAGGAACCATGCGGAGGGTGACATGAGCCACTCGGAGGGTTTGAACAGAATATACCTGATCTGACATGCTCAGAAAGGATCCCTTTGGTGATCCCCACTGAGAAGTTAGGGCACAGATGAGGCTTGAAGAGGGCACAGACCAGGGTGAGGGGTAGGAGGAGCGATAAAGAACAATGCAGCCAAGACAGTTGCTGAGGACTGGGTGCAGTCAAGATAATTGACTTTGATTTGAGTCTGCAGCGGGGATTCCGGTGTACTGTGCAAGTCCCCACTGTCTATAAGGGACCTCGAAGACGAATGTGCCCATTTTCCTGTAAGATACATTGACCAGTGCATAAGCCACCTGACCTATGTGACCAAGAGAAGCCACTCTAAAGTGCTCCTACATTGTGATGTTCCAACTCGTTTCCATCAAATGAATTGTCTGATACCAAGAGTTACTAAAACTCTGTGTTCTAGTGTTCCTTCTATTAAGCTGAAGAGCGCAGGAGGTAAGAATATAAGTACGAGGACTCAGGCTTGAAACCTGGACTCAGGCCTAGCTGTGCATGCCTGTACCTTCATCATTGTGGGGATGAGACAGGCAGCTCAGGAGAGCTCCCCAGCCAGCCTCTCTAGCTAAAATAGTGACACAGAATACACACACACACACACACACACACACACACACACATTCATGAATTACATATAAAATAATGAACCATGAACTTGAAAATAAAGGCTTCTGTAAGGTATTCGCAATGGTGACCCTTTAAAAAGTACTGTTGAGCTGGATGTTGGTGGTGCACACCTTTAATCCCAGCACTCAGGAGGCAGAGGCAGGTGGATCTCTGTGAGTTCAAGGCCAGCCTGGTCTATAGAGCGATTTCCAAGACAGTCTCAAAAAACAAAACAAACAAAAATACTGTTGAATATAAAAGTTGTAGAAATAGATAAAAATACAGAATAGTTGTGCCTTAGCTTCCTGAAAATAAATTTAGAAAGCAACCCTCCAACCCCGACTCAAGTTCACACATGCTCGTTTCTTGTGTAAAATGACAGTATTTGATCTAACCTATTTAACTTTCTCCTGTGTGTTTCAGTATCCAGATCACTTATCACAAAAATTCAATGTGTTTGTATATATAATTTTTTTTCTTCTTCTTTCTTTCTTTTTTTTTTTTTTTTTTTTTTTTTTTTTTTTGGTGTTTCAAAACAGGGTTTCTCTTGTAGCTTTCTGGTCTGTCCTGGAACTCACTCTGTAGACCAGGCTTGTCTCAAACTCACAGAGAATCACCTGCCTCTTCCTCCTGAGTGCTGGGATTAAAGGTATTCACAACCAATTATTTAATCGCAATAAATGTCCAGCTATAATAGATGTTATATCAAATTGTTTGGAACATACTGACATGAACAATCCTTACATATTCAGTACAACTTAAACTCAAAGAATGTTTTCCATCCAACAATGCTTAAATGTGGGTACAAAAGCCACAGATGAGGGGCCAGATGTATATAATAGATGTTTACAAAATGTGTCTCTTCTTCGGATCATTTTTCATAACTGGGAAACTTTCCATTCAAATCTCTTTGAAAGTGGCTGTTTTCTTGTGTTATTGAGTACATACTCTTAAGATGTTCACACTAACACACTTGCTTTTTAAAGAATACTCAATTTCTTCATGCTATGGGAACAAGGTTGCTGGTTTCATTTCTGATCTCTTTTTGTGAAATTAGTAACATATGAAACTTGCAGGACAGCTGTCATTGAGTGCAGAGTAGACTTCTGCATGCTCTAACTCCATCACTAAGGATCTGCTGCATGGACAATGCTCTGACTCTGTCACTAAATGATTTGCTGCAGTAGACAGTGCTCCAAGTGCCCTTCAGTGTGTGTCACAGATCCTGCAAAGCTGACTGATTTGAGCTTTCCTATTTCAGAGCTGGATTCTCACTGCATGTAAAAACACTCAAACTCAGCATACTAGAATGTTGATTACTTAGGGCTGAGGCAAGAGGTAGATAGCAAGATACTGGTAAAAGGAAACAGAATTTCAGTGAGAATGTCCAAGAGATCTACTGTCCAACCCAGTGAACATAGTGAAAAGCAGGGCATATACTGGAAGATTACTAGTTGATAGCTGGTAAGTCTCCTCACCACAAAAGGTGAGATATTTAGCTCCATATAGTATGCACACTTCAAAGATCATACAATATAATTATACATAAGTTACTGGTCAATTAATTTCCTGAATTTAAAACAGAACAAATTTGACTTTTTCCCATTACAATGTGATTGTAATAACTGTAGAAACCACCATTAGAGTCCAGAGAGCACAAGGAGGGACAGAAGTCAGTTGAAGGTTTGTTGACATGACCAGGTTACCTGGGCTGCGAAAGAGCATTGCATAAGTGGTGTTATGCCCAGCTCTAAGTGTAGTTACTCTGGCAAACAGAAGGTTGCAGAGTAAAGAGTAAATATGCAAAACATATAGAGGACTCTTTGCCTCACTCCTCCTGCTTTACCTACAGTAGGGGACCAGCCCTCTCTTGCCTGCATACACATACATGCCACACACACACACACACACACACACACACACACACACATACACACACACACTCACACCTCTAGCACATGCTTTCTTCCTCAAGTCTCTGTGTGTCTCTCCTTTTTGTGTCCTGATTTCTAATTCCCTCCCTGCCTCAGTGCCCAACCTTTATTTGTAACTAGCTCAACCTTTATTTGTAACTATTGGAAGTATATGTAGTTAGCTACATTATTCAAATTCACAGTTCTAAATCTTCTGCCTCGGGCTAAAATCAGATTTCTTCAGGACAAGAACTAAAACCCAGCTCAAGCCTGCCCACTCCCCCCACCCCCAACAAAAGGATATTTAGCCATTCTACTCCAACTGGATACTTTTACTCTTCCCTTGGTATTTTATTGGAAGGGTTCCACAAGCCAACATGAACAGAACAAAGAGCAATGTTCACTATAAGAACATCATATACCAACTTAGTTGTAACATGAATGTCATTAATTTACTGAAATTAACATTATGAACACATAATGAGAAGATGTTCCTCAAAAAAGGAAGGTGAACGTTAACCAGTAAGACAAAACTATCTTTGAAAGATAGAGATAACAGGAAGGGGTTCAGTTCAGCTTAAGCGCGAGTAAAGCGCGAGTTGCAGTCGGACTCCTATGTTTTTGTCTTCAATGGCCCGAGGTTTTGGATGAGGCAGCTCAGGAAGGTGTCCAGCCGATGCCTGGACCTATACGCAATCAGTCCTCCCTTGTTGGCCCAGAGATCCACCCCAGAAGCACCTCTGTTCTCCATGTGATACAGCAACTGTGGCAAGTCCAGCCCCGTTTCGGGACGTTTCTCCAGGCACTCTTTCATGTCTACAATGCCCCCACCCATGGCCCTCAGAATGGCATGAGCAGCACAGGAGTCCCACTTGTATGTGGTGTCCTCTGAGAAGATGTAAATGTCAACCAGGCCTTGGACTACGCAGAGGCTCTTGTAGCCAGCCCCAGCTGCGGAGAAGACGCCACCTTCACATACTCGGGACAGCGCGGCTTTGATGGTCTCTTTTTCGCTAGTGCTGATGACTGCAGAAAAGGGGCGGGAGAACTCCGGGTCTAAGTTTTCAGGGTGGGTTTCACTACTGCTCCCTTTAGAGACGGAGGACTGCAGGGAGTGGATGTTGGTCCCCATGTAAGAAAGGCCCCAGTAGCACTGTCCCTTCCACCTGCAGGAAATAGTTTCAGCTGTGATCATCACGTTTCAAATATGACGACATGAAAGTGCACAATGCCGCAAGCAAAATGAGTTTTAATGTTCCTGAACCTATAAATGATCTACATGTGTGGCTTAGAAACAAGTATAGGGAGGGTTGATATATCTCAAATGCAATGCCATGCTTTCTCCAAGACAGTATCAATTTCTTTGAAAGAATCAATGTGCACTTAAACCCAAAGAAAACTATGTCAAATCCAGGACTGAAGAGAGAATGCATTTCAATTCAGCCCTGTGGACCCACAGTGGGACCCCCTACCCACACTCACACAATCCAGTTATGGGAATGTCATGTAGAGTGACAATTCTAACAAGCTGGACGATTAGGACTGAAAAAGTCCATCTTTTACCTTAGAGTAGTTAGGTTTTGTGACACAAAAGGCTGGTTGATGACTCCCATCAGGGGCATGCCTGTCTGTACATCATAGACGCCAATTAAAATGGTCACACACTGAAGCCCACTGGGGAAAACTCCTTGGCTGGATTTCACGTTGGCAGAACCTTTAATATACTGATAGGTTGAATCTGAAAAATGAAGCAAATGTACAGGAACAGACTAGTTAGAAGGTAAAGGTGAAAATCTAGGATTTTTGTTCTGTGTGAGTTCCCCAATCAGATTTCACCTTTGGGTGTTGCCTCCACTGAATCAGTTGAGATCTCATATATCATGCTTATATTTCATTCAGTGTATGAGAACTTTTTAAAAATTTGTCGTCTTGAGACAGGGCTTCTGTAAGCCCTGTAAGTATGAGAACTCTTGAAGGTCTGGACTTGGTCACACAGTCCTATGGAATCCAGCACAGCACCTTGCATATTTAATAAGGCTCCAAAGGCAGTTAGGGCTGGGGAGATGACTCAGTGGCTAAAGTACTTGCCTCAAAGTCATGAGGGCTTGAGTTTGGATTCGAAGTGTCCTTGGAAGATGTTGGGCAAAGTGGATTACACTTAAATATCCCAGGGGGTTACCGGATAGCCAGTCTAACAGAATTGGTGAATTTCAGGTTAGGTGGAAAAGGAATGAGAAAGACACATGACAACTCTGGTCCTGTGCCATGTGGCAGGAGCACATACAAGCACCCTTAAAAGGTCAATAACTCTTGATAACTGATGGGATGCTTTTTCAGAACTGTTTTGAGACAGAAAAGCCTCCTTCTAGGAATCTGACAGATGTGGATTGGCCTATCGTTGTTATCATTTGCCTCCCCAAGCTGCAAAGAAGGAGATAACGAAACCAACATAACAAGGGAAGAGGCTGACAGTGCTTGATCTTAATTGTCAGCCTGATTGGATCTGGGATCAACTATGGGTCTGGGTATGTTTGTGAAGGCATTATCTGGAAGTATTACTTAAGGGGGCACACTCTTCCCTTAGAGCGCACAGCATCTTCCAGCAGCCCAGCTGTAAACAGGTCCGAGGAAAAGCAGTGCTGATTTTGCCTGCCTGTTTTCCTCCTTGCTGGCACAAGCCCCTACTCTTCTGCTGTTGCTGCTAGTATCGTTCACTGACATGGCACCTTAGTATCTCTGGACTTCCAATATGAACCCAAGACCAGTGGTTCCAGGGATTCCCCAGGCCTTCAATGTCGACTGAGACTGCCCAGCTTTCCAGCATTGTAGACTGAGCAGCCTCATCAGTGTGCAACAGCCATTGTTGCACTACCCAACCCCAAGAGTTAGCACACAGTGAAAGTCTAGCCAACTACCCAGAGAGACAGATAAACATCTATTCAGGGTGGCTCTAATATAGAAGATCTTGTAACAATGTTAATTTGTTGTAACAATTGTTAATTTACTCTTAATTGTAACAGAATTGTAACAAATGTCAATTTATCCTTACATGACCAGAGATTTGGGGGGAAACTCTTGCTGTTCATATACAATACATTGGCTGAATGTTATGTAGTTACATCACCACTGTGTTGTGTTATGTGCCTGTAGGAAAGGGTGAGGAGAAAGCTGTCTGGTTCAGTATGTCTGCACCAGTTACGTTCAGCAGAATTTACCAAGGACAGGGGAAGTAGGGACCTATTCTTAGGACTTTGTATTGACAGGCTGTTGAGAAAAGGGCTATATTTTAAAGCATGCACTGCAATTACAAAAAAGGACAAAAATTTGGTAAGTTTTATGTTGGCTTGCAAGGTGCCCAAGACACAGTCAGTGGTTTTGCTTGACCATGGCTTTGACTGTTGCCTAAATAAATGAGTAGCCAATGATTTAAAGTTAGCAACTCTCTCTTAAAAATGGGTCTGGGTTTAGTGTTTTAAAATCTGAAGATCTAGCCTGCACTCACAAATGGCAAGAGTCTGTTAGAGCTGAGTTCTCTCTAAGTGGTGTGCATTGCTGTCATTTCAAAACCAATTAGTTCCATGTGTGCGTGTACATGAATACGTGTGTGTGTGTGTGTGTGTGTGTGTATGACACGACCATCTCTAACTCCAGTTCCAGTGTATCTGATGCCTCTGGCCTCCACAGACTCTGCACACACACACACACACACACACACACACACACACACACACACAGTATATGGGGGCGTGTGAATCCATACACATAAAATAAAGGAAAACAATAAAAATAACTTCTTTGGACACAACATGACCATTGCACTCAAACTCCCAGCAGCAGTGGCTTCTCTACAAGACCTGCATGAAATCAAGGTAGCCAGACTTCTGGCACACAGTGGGGATCACTTCTGAGGAGCTGCTTGGGGAGGGGTACAGCTCTTTGTGTATGGGTGTAGACTCCCAGGCTCCAGTGGTCCATGGTCCAGCACCTAACTGGGCAGCACTAATTGGACTTAATGAGTTTTAAAAAGAAAAAAGACATGAAATTAGGAGAGGAACATATTTGGGAGGTTTGGGAGGTTGGGGGTATGGTCATATTTCATTGTACACATGTATGAAATTCTATAATAATAATAATAATAATTCTAGGAGATCTAGACTACAGTTCCAATAGTTTCTATTTCTTCCCCTGACCCCTCAAGAACAGAGTAAGAACAAATGCAGACGCCCACACAGAGCAGTCCCATACTCACCGATGGGATCCACCCAAATTCCCAGAATGTCCTGTGGGATGCTGATCTCCATGGCCTCCAGAGTGGGGTCAGTTAAGTCTACATCCTGATGCACCACCTTAGCCAACGCTTCGGACGCCAGCATGTTGCCATTAAGGACTCTGCTGAGAAGTTCTGCTGTTTCCTCCTCCGTGGACTGCAGTTCTACAATGATCTTTTCTCCTAGAATAAAGACAAATTGGAGCCACTGCTTCACGAGAGTTCAGGGGAGAATGGACAGCAGGGGAGGGGGTGTGATGGGCAGCTGAGCTGAGTTGTGGATGTCCACAGCATGGATCTAAATCCCTGCTGACTGCCAGGTCACTGCAAAGAGTGGGTGCAGTGGCTCCATGCCTTCCTCTCAGTGGAGAGTTTAGGTTCCAGAAAAATGTCTACAAGGGCAAAGCTGAAATCCTTCAGCCTTCAATAATTACTCTGTTACATAGTTTTGCCTTTGCATATGCATAGGTTGCTCTGTCCATGTCAGAATATTACTGAAAAAGACATAGGTTTTACTCACATACTGAAATGCTTCTACTTCCTTCTGTAATACTGCTTTTACCAAAAATATTGTTTATGTTCAGCAGTATCAAGTGAAACACAGTAATCTTTGAATGCAATAAAACTTAGTGGCTCAAAATGACAGACAATAACTCTCCTCTGTGAAAGCCATTGAAAACCTGATGTGAGCAACCCCTCTCCAGCAGAAGCAGAGGGAAGAGAAAGCTGTATTCCCATCTCTTGAAACTCGAATCTTAGGCCCCTGGTCTGGCAACTAGCCTCCAAGAGAAGAGAAAGAAGGGGCTGGGAAGGAGGCAGAGGCAGCTGGACATGGGGGCACAAACCTAAAACCGCACCACTTGAGAGGTAGATGCTACATTATCAAGTCAGGGTACCTCATGAGACCCTGTCTCCACAGTAGCAAATTAACAGATTAACAGATTAAAGTATAACAGCTGAGATGAGTGTAGTGACATACCTATAATTCCAACACTCAGGAAGAAGTCTTGAGTTCAAGGTCAGCCTGGGCTACTTAGTGAGACTTGAAAAAAAAAAAAAGTATATAGACCCATGTTCAGTAGCAGCTGGGAGTTTGTTGGAAACACTTCAAGAATCACCTAAATGTAACTCAATTTTCAGAAAAGCCTCAGGTCACGATATGATGAGCACAGCTCATGGCACAGTGGAAATCTATCAAAAACAAGAACTCTGACTTTTTCCTTGTGTTTTAGTGCTGGGGATTCAGTCTGGGGTCTCCAGGAATGCTGAGCAGGTGTCCCTGTGTCTGCAGCCCACAGCAGTGATTCTGAGGCACCCAGTTTCAGTCACTGAAATATGCATGCTACTTCCAGCTTACTAAAAACCAAGGACCATTCAAATGAACGAGTCATGTGACTCCTGTGTGCAAGCTTGGCCAATGGTCTCCATCACATTTAGTGGGAAGTCCAAACTCCTGTTGTGACCCTGCCCCACTGGAGTCCCTGTTGGAACAGCAGCCTCACTCCTGTCTCCCTATTTCTCTGTTCTTTGGTAGACAGGAAAATAAATGTGGAACACTTTTTTGCCTCTTTAATTTAAGACAAATGAAGCTTTAAACTAACTGCTTAGGAAATATTCAAATGTAGGATTGTAAGTTAGAGTGTATCATGAAGTATACTTAATAGTTATTTTAACTTTCAGAAGTTTAAATAAGATTTCTGTCTTCTCTCTGGGAGTTACAGAAATGTATAAAAACTTGAATATACATAGAAATGTATATTAAAAAGACAGGGGAATGGTTTATGCCTATAGTCTCAGCTACTCTGGGAGTTGAGGTAAAATGACTTGAGCCAAGAGTTTGAGACTAGCCTGTATAACACAGCAAGGTCCCACCTCAAACAGAACAGCAACAAAATAAACTTTAAAACTTGGTGCAAAATGGAAACTTCTAGTTAATCCAACTGCCTTTACAGAGGTTCTGAGATGAAACACAGAGGAGACTGGAGCATACTTTCTTTCAGGACTGAGGTGTCTGGTACACTCTTAGCCAAGAGCTGTAGAGTTCAGTGTGTCCACAGATGGGTTCAAATCTCTGCCCAGGCATTGTCTGCTCAACTATACAGATTAAAAGCTTTCTGGAGCATGATCACATCAGATTGTCAAAAAGGCTACAGAATTTTCCCAAAGGCTAAGCCACAGTGATTAAAATGCTAGAGATTTCAATTTAGAATGATGCATGGACTACTTCACAATTCCAAGAAACCACCTTGCCTCTCTAACTTAAGTGTCGTCATATTGTGAGGTTGAGAGCCAAAAGAAAGCATCACATTTACATGCATTATTCTGCTGTTTATGCTAAAATCTTCCGAGGATTCATTTATTTTATGTTCTGAGTTAGGAATTAGAATATGATGATAAGTTACAAAACATATTAAGATTCTTATACTTACCCAAATCATTTGTAAACTCATTAGATTCTTCTCCAAAAATTCTTTTCCCCAAGCCTGGAAACTGAATGAGTCAGATTTTGAAAAACAAATGACAGCAACAACCCCCACCCCACAATCAGTTCTGAAGAGAGTTCCATGAGTGTAGTTAGGTTCAAAACCCAAAAGCATTCATAGTAGGAATCAGCTTGAGCACAGAAACTGAAGTCAGCTTGCTGCTGTGCTTAGCTTTCTAATATTTTCCTATTCCTTTGCCAGCTTAGAAAGCCTACTACATGGCCAAAGTCTTGCTTTCCTATGTCCTGCAGGAAAGCCACAGGACAGGAGAGCCACAAGATTCACCCTGCTCCCACACACCAGCCTGTGAAAGTTCTCTCATGTTATACTCATATATACTTTGTCTGGTCTACAACACCAGAAGAGGGCATCAGATCCTATGGTAGACAATTGTGAGCAGCCATATGGGTACTTGGAATCCAACTCAGACCTTTGAAGAACAGCCAGTGCTCTTAACCACTGAGCCATCTCTTCAGTCCCTAGAAGGCGGTCTTAGATTCTATTTCCACTTTCAGATACATCTCTGCACCTGTGAGGTGTGATATTAGCTTTCAGACTGGGGGTGGGGGTGAGGAAGAAGAGAAAGAGAGAGAGAGACTGTGATTTAAGCATCAACACAGAGTGAGCAGGGAATAAGTAAGACTTTTTCTCACATCTCCACTCGGTGTTCAGTAAGCAAGCACACTCCACTCCTGACCCTCAGAAGACAGTTTTTCTCAAAATATGAGCCGACTCTGACACTCCTGTTGTTTTCAGGGAAGAACTGCCTCACATACTTGAACTTGTGCAGCACCAGATGCTCAGACCCTCCTAATGGCCATGCCACCTGCTATTCTTTTTTCTCTTTTGCAAAACAGAGGGGGATCTACAAGGGCTGGCAATCTGCCTGTTCACCAACCCCCACACCTGTTTACAGAGATGTTTAGAGGAATGCAGACAGAAGGGGCCTGGGATAAAATCTAGAGCAGCTCAAACGGAAAGTATTTGTTTCATAAATTCTGGCATTACTTCCTGAACAATTGCCTGGGCTTGTTCTGATGCTTGGGGGGTGGGGGTGGGGCACATATTAACCCATAAAAGTAATGTTGATACATAGCCAATCCAGTTGCTCAGCCAGCCCTTGTATCCAACTGTCTCTATCAACAGCAACAGAAAACAAGCTTCCTTCATTTAGTCTGCTGAAGCCAGTTAGTAAGGGGTATGAAGAAAACTATAGTCTATGGAGATTGTATGTAATTTATTCTCTTTTCATGTCTGTGGTCAAGATTTTACTTGAGCCTGAAGTGATCCTCAAATTTAAAAACTTCATTAAAATATTAGTGTTTTTTTTCTGTCATAAAGCTCCATCCTCCCAAATTAGAAAAGGGGGGAGGAATTACATAAAAAGCAACAGAACCCCCAATGTCACAAACTCCGAGAACCATTTCCCATGTTCACGAACTCGAGCTGTCATGCCGTACTGTGTAATTTCAGGCACATTCAAGCTCTCTGACACCCGAGTCACAGTGGAATAGCAGCTCTTACGTACAGAACTGTTACAGGGTTCACAAGCTACAATTCATAAAGCCAGGTACCCTGTAAACAATTGTAAGTGTCTGCCAGTATTACTGTTACCAGCTCAGAATAAAGGCTTTTTTCTAGTCATTTGCACACAGAGAATCATAGTCACTGTCTGTCATGACCATATATTTGTAGTACAATAAAGGGAGACTTTACCCAATTCCAAGCCCATAACCAAGGCAAACATTAGACAAACGGTTAAGTTGGTAAGGTGGGACTAAGGAGTTAAAGCTAGTGAAGACTGGCTGTGAACACACCAAGAAACTTAAGTGATCCTCAGCAGCATGCAGGTTCTCTCTAACACTGGGCTTGGGAGGGACCTTAATTGTTGTGCTGTCACAGAGAACATTATTTATTAACAAGAAACTCATCAATAAATAAAAGGGTCAATACTATGTACTCATGATAGACTTCTGAGTGTTCTCGTTTTGTTTGTGTTTCTACACCTCATTGATTTCCTGCAAAGACCATTTTCTTGATACTGTAATAAAAATAAGGGAGGGCCAAAAGATGTTTGTTTGAATCCAAGATATCCTGCCATTTACAGCTGTGGGGAACAGAGTGGCAGGCAAGAGCCTCACAGCCACCTTTCACAGCCACCTTGGCCCTGACCTCTTACCTTATTCTCCATGTTCTGTTTTATAACTTCCTGCACCAGCACATCCGCCAGGGTCTTGAAATCTACTGCAAACTTCTTGTTCTTCTCTGAGTCTTTCTTCTCCTGGATGAGCAGCTGGAAGAGGGTTTCCTGCTGCCGGCACGCCCGGGCGATGTTAGCAGCCTTCTCCGAGACTCGGAGCAGTTCCTGGAGGATGTCTGACATTTCTGAAGCCTCACCCACCCTCTGGCTCTCAGCTGGAAATGCACAAGAATGTGAAAGAGAAAGCAGTTCAGAGTGGAGTCAGGGTGCTGCTCCCACTAACACCCAGCTGGCAGCAACCTGTCACATGGCTTACCTGCTAGTGAATACTACATTTTCAGCTTGCAAGACAGGAGTTACAATATAAATACTGAAACTTATTTCTCAAATCTTGCAAACCAATTACACTGTCAAAAAAGGCCCATTATCCAAAGAACTGAATTTTCAGTGAAAGGAATCTTTCCTGCCTTAGTTAGACAGAAGTATCACAAGGTAAAAGGAAAGCCAGATTCTTGTAACAATCACATAATTGTGTGACTAGAACAGCACCATCTCTGTGGGAAGGGTGAAGGGTGACATTCACACTGCCACGCCCATGTGGTAAGTGGCAGAGCAGCAAGTACTATGTCCTGCAGGACTCTGCAGCCACTCATGGGCTACAGCATGAAGCATCTCACAGCCAACTCCACTAAAAACATTCCAGTGACACATGCCAGCCTCCACTAAGTAGCAGCCTCCACAACAGTGGGAAACTTAAACCTTTCTAGGACTCAAGAAGTTCTGGGCTCGAAGAGGCATGCATATCTCTCTCTAGCCCTGGTTGTCCTGGAACTCTCTCTGTAAACCAGGCTAGCCTTGAATTTAAAGATTCACCTGCTTCTGCTTCCCACGTGCTGGGATTAAAGGTGTGCACTGCCACACCCAGCTGCTGATGTCTTCTGCTGGGCCTGCCTTGAAATTGCTTCAACTTACTAATGGTGTCTTGTTCAAAGTGTGAATCATTCCGCTTCCATTGACAGAGAACCACTGTGAGGATTATCTGCCCAGGGTAACAGTTCCGGAATGAAGCTCAGTGGGTTGAGTAACTTGTACAGGGTTACACAAGGCTGAGAGGTGGGGCTTAGAATTGCTCAGACACGACACTAGGTTTCTTTATTGTCACAACAGTTTCCTCTATTAATAGAAGCTTGCCTCTGAGAACTCACTCAGCCATGAAGATGCGGATGCAGGGGTGTGGCAAGCTGTTACAGCTAGTTTGTCTTAACTTTGCTCACCTTGTTTTCCCTTATGGTCCACTTCCCGAGGAAACACCTCCTCAATAGAAATGAAGGAAAACTGAATAAAACGAGATATCCCTTCTCACTATTCTATTTCTTTTACCCTTGGTGGCCATCTTTGGAGATCAACAGTAGGTCAGGTGCCGACTCTGACACTGAACTGAAATATACAGTTTCCAAGGAGCTGCTGACATAACTGTAGCAAATCCCCACCCATGACCCTCTTTCACCAGTTGGTAACTCCACATCTTAGCTTAACCTACGGTAAGAAAATAAGAATTAAAATATTTTTATATAAGGTAGGCTGAAATTATAAAAAGTAGGAAAGACTTTAAAATAAGTTTTCTTTTGTGGCAGCTTTGTAGGCTGAGTTTTCTTGTCCCATAGCCACTCTCAAATAACCACTCAGAGGCTTAATATTAAAAATGCTCGGCCAATAGCTCAGGCTTGTTACCAGCTAACTCTTACACTTAAATTAACCCACATCCCTTATCTGTGCTTTGCCAGGTGGCTTTTCTCACTAGGTGCATCCATCTTGCTCTCGCTGTGTCTGCCAGCAACTCCTCTGACTCTGCCCTTCCTCATTCTATCATCCTCAGTTTGACTTTCCCACCTAACTACCCTGTTCAGCTATTGGCCAGTCATCTCTTTTATTAAACCAATCACATATTCACAGAACGTACAGAGGATTATTCCACAGCACAGGTTCTCACATTGTTCAGGCTGCCTCACACTTGCTATGCATCTGAGGATGACCTTGAGTGATGACCTAGGAGAGCAAACTCAAGTCCTCATGCTTGTTAACACTTTACTGATTGAGCCCTCTCAATATCCCTAATCCTAAAGCCTTAAATATTGATAAAACTAAGAATATTGTGTGGCCTGTAAAATAATGCTTTGGAGGGATGAATAAGGAAAAAAAGAATGTTATAATATTAAGTACAAAATGACCTATGACACATAGCTATATCTTTATATATCATTATGTTACCAATTTAGGTCATGTTACCAATTTAGGTCATGTTTTTTAAGGTAGTCAATTTATAATGTAATTGGGGACAACTTAGTTTTTTTCCATAATCAAATATTCTCCAGTAAATATGTAGTAGATATTTATTTTATACATTATAATTCTATAAGAAATGACTTGATTTAGTGTTCTGAGTATTGGGAACATGTGACTTGTGACTGGGCCTTGGGTCTTGTACTTGCTAGCCAAATATTTTATATTGAGCTTTCTCCATAGCCCTAACTTTTTGATTTTGATATTTGATACATGGTCTTGCTAACCTGCCCATGCTGGTCTTCAACTGGCTGACCTTGTACTTCTGATCTTCTCACCTCAGACTCCCAAGTAGCTGGGATTACAGGCCTGTACCGCCAAGTCCACCTAATAAGTGACATTTAAAAAAGCTAAACATTCCTGGGCTCCTTGATGGAATGGTCCAAGTAAAATGTACCTACCCTACAGTAATAACAAGACTTTCTGGATTTACATGATAATACAAAGAGAACTCAAGCAACCACAGGGTCTTACAAGCCTTTATTCCCAGACTCAATCCTGATAGCAGGTTCACTTTACTTTGATATAGACCTGTATGTCAATAAAAGTAGCATTCCCATAGCAAACCCACTTAAACTCAGAAATAATTTATGGCATCTATTATATAAATACTTGCCACAATGATAAGTTATAAAATACACAAAGAATATCTCACTATAACTCATGAGCCACAAAGAGTATAAATTCAGTGACCACAACTTTTGTTAGCAAATGTTCTGCGTTATTGCAAGAGCAGAATCAATGAAGCAACGTACCTAAGGTCCTTCTTATTTAGAAGCAGCACGGGGACATAAATCTCACTTTGAACTTGAGCAAGATACTCATCAACTGTTTATCACATTCAGTGACTTTAAAAATCAATGTTTATATCTCTCCCCTTTTTTAATCTGAAAACCAGTTACCAGTTACACTGCTGGGTTAACTTCTGCACCATTGCCTCTACGAACTCAGAGTTCTAGTCCTGGCTACTCTAGTCAACGGTCATTTTTCCAACCTGAGCAGGTGTTACCTAGGAAGTACATAAATTGGCCAAGAGGAGAGAACTTTGAGCTGTGAACTGTGACACACAACAGGGTGGGCTCTAGAAATTCATAGTACCAAACTTGGGTTTTTGGGTGCTGAGTCATCCTACATCAACCTTAACCTCTTTTTTTTCTGGCCCAAGACACCTGGCTTCAAGTGGTTCTGGGTTTTTGCCCAGTTTCAGTCGAGACTTCCTCCAGCCAGCCTGACCAACACAGTACATCCCAAAGCTTTAAATCAGCTCTGGGTTGCTCATGATATGTAGCTCACTGTAAATGCTGTATAAGATGTTCTTGTGCATTAGGACGTGATGGGGAAACAGTTGTGTATGTACAAGCCAGGCACACATTTTGTCAACTATTTCCCACTCATATCTGGTTGAATCCAGGCAGGAGAGTGGAAAAAGGTGTTGAGCACAGTCACAGTTGGAGGTACTGGGGTCACAGTCTCAATACCGCCACGGTGGAGGGATGCAGCCTAGCCCTTAACACCTCCCGAGAGAGGCCAGCACAACCGATCCCTTTGTCCTCTGTCTTCTGGCCAAATAGTAAAATTGGGATAGATAGATAGTCTTCTTTGTGTGGTCAAGAAGTTTTACTTCTGTGAGACAAATTTCCTGCTAGCTGTTACTCTAGCAGCCAGGCCACTAGCAACACAGTGAATGCTGAAGCAGCTTCTTCATAGCCTTGGTTTGTGATGACCCACCAAGTCACTTCTCAGCAAAGCAGGCTTCATTCTTCATTATCTCCAACTAAACCACACACGTATAATATACACATATCAACACATAATGCGCGTGCACGTGTGAGTGTGTGTGTGTGTGTGGATGTGTGAGTGTGTGTAAATAGACACAAACGTGAAATTGTGTCACAATGTCACATAGAATTAGAGCCTCTGGCTTTGGGGACATTTTCAAGTCTAATTAAACGAAGTAAGTAGGACAGTCAAAAAATAACCCAACACTTAGAAGGTGGGAGGAGAACAACTGGGGGAGGGGGTAGTGTTCAAGGTGAGTTCAAGGCCAACCTGGGCTACATGAAACCCTGTCTCAAAAGAAAAACCAAAACAGCAACTTAAAATCAGATCTGGGGCTAGGGATCTAGCTCAGCCGTTGAACACGTGCCTAGCATGCGTGAGTCCTGACTTTGATACCAGGTATGAAAATAAAAATAATGTAATCAGAATAGTTTACAGGTATTTAAGAGGCAATGAGCAATATAATAAGAAAGGCACAGGCTTTGCAATCAAATTGACCTAGGGGCTAAACCTAGTTCAGCTGTGTGGCATCAGGAACTTTACTCAGCCTCTCTGAGGCTCTCCTCATCTGCACCTGGAGGACAAACTTACCTGGCAGTGATATCTGAAGAGCAAATGAGGCATCTGGAAAGGCAGTAGTACAGAGCCTGCACACGGTAGATAATAAACGGCAGCTCTCACTATGAAATCCAACCGCACAGACACCACAGTCATATGTCCTCCCTTGAGAAAGTATGAAGCCGGCAGTTATGTGGGTCACTGAAAATCCCAAAGCCCGGGAACTCTTTGTAAAGCTGTGAACAACCCAGAATAAAGTCCCTTTATGTAGGCCAGAGCTGATGGCTTCAGTTTCTGGGTGTGTGGGTGGAACTCTGGCTCCTGGCAGCTGTGTGGCAACTCTGGCCTCATGTCAGACAATCTGAGTGTAGCCTAGGCGAGACATTTTTCTCTGAAGGGGGCGTTTTGTCAGGGAACTTGGATTCCAGGGTCCAGGTCTCCTCTTTCCAGAAGACCTGGCCTGCCCTTCTGTTGTCCACAGTGACAGAAGCACAATGCAGAGCTGGGAGCCCTCAATGAAACAGTAGGCCCTCTCACA